AGCGTAGTCTATGGCTTTCCTCACTCATTGCTTTGCCTTGACAACTCAGAAAGCTGCGGCCTTCCTCTCCCACCCTCACTGTTTCTGCATATTCCTTGGAAATATTTCTCATTATGTTTCTCCTACCATTGTTCTCAGGTGGCTTGGTACGCACACGCTGTCCTTTTCCCTACCCTCTCTATGCTGCTCTTACCCCCTCATTGCCTGGGGTGGAACAAGGTGCTGGTACCCAGAAGTACCACCAGAAATGGAGAATGTGGGGTTGAATAACGTATATACAGTGAGTGGGAAGCATGCTTGCCTCTACAGAGTTCACTCCTTAAATTTGTACGACCAAGAAAGCATATTGTATTGCACATAGGGGATCTGACCCATGTGATGTCTGTAATAGTGGTGTAAAGCAAAATCCTCTGAGCCCTTCACCACCCTTGCAGTGCAGAAGCTAGGAGGCTTCTCCTGTAACTCTTGGATGGTTGTGACTGTCTCTATCATAGGATGTATACTTCCCTCAAACTTACATAAATGTTATTTTTGGAAATTGTTATGATTTAGTGATTGATAAAGTGGAAAGACTGTCACGGCCCCATCTGTTCTGAGAAAATGTGGGGGTTTTGAGGGTATTTCCTTTCTGAGCTTTTTATTACCTGAAAGCAGAAATCCTGTTACAATGTATTAAGACACAGTTGAATGCATCTTCCTGTTCTACCTTGTCAGTGATATATGGAGAGACGTGGAGTTTTGTGCTTTGAGTAATCAAATGGCTAACTAAACAAGGAAGCTGCCATCCACTGAAGTGATGGGTGAGTCAAACGGCAGTCTGCATGATGGGCTGACCTGTTCTTTCATGTCCTCTGCGGAATATTTTGCATTGGAGTTTTCAGAAATTTTCTGGCATTACTCAATATGCTTTTTTTTCCCCGCCTTCTGCTTCTACCACAGTGCTTGATAGGTTAGGACTAGCTCTTGGGGTTACGTAGGCAAGACATACATATACATGCATAAATAGACACATAGGTAGAGATAACATATGTACTATTTATAAGCAGCAGGCATCACTGCCAGTGGAACAATTATCCTTCACTGTGAGGACACATCTGGAGAAGGTAGGACATCAAATGCCAAGTGCTCTGTAGAGGGATTTGGTGCTGGCATTCAGCAGTCGTCTGTGCCTAGCACAGAATTAGGATTTCCCAGGGGTTTGAAAGGAGTGTTACTGTCACCACTGCACCGTGCTGAGATGAAGCTGTCCTCTAGGATCAAATGGGTGTATTAGTTACATGATGCTGCTGGCTGGGCTGAATGCAGCAGCTGCTGCTGTACTTTTCTCTGGAAGTGTTGAAGGGAAAGGCAAAAAGTTCATATCAGCAAACATGAGAAGAATGGGTGTGATGTAAAGCAACTAGATGAGCCGCGTCAGCTGCCCTGCATGTCACAGCTCCAAAGCTTCTGCCTGCCAAATGGCTGGGAACACAGGCTGGTGTTTTAGCTAACCCAGATTTTGTGCACCCTTGTTCTCTCAGTTTTGCTGTTTAGGAGTGGTTTAGCTGATACTTGATCACAAAGTATTCTGCAGAGATCAAAATTTTCATCCGACTTTAATGAGAGTTGCGGGCAGTCAGAATCTCTAATGGTTAGGATGATTATGAATAGGATGTTGTAACCTTAAGTGCTAAAGGACAGAATCTAAGTAAATGGGATTTTCATATTTCCACTGATTTTGATGTAGCTTGCACAATTTACACAGCAAAGAATATGTATTTTAAATTCTCAACCAGAGTCTTTAAAAGTGAATCTTTGCTCAGAGAAGTATTGTTTGAAGTTCTGAAAGCCAACCAGGCATTTTTGCTACAGACTTTTTGTTAACATCAGTGGGAGGCTCTGGGGCAGGTTCACTGCTTGGCCCTGAAAATCTCAGCACCAGAAGGTATTCATCAACTTTTGGGCCAATAATCTAAGCACAGGAAATTCAAGGCAATGTCCTCCACCTGTCTGTGCGTTCATTCATTTTGTGAGAAAACACAGTTCAATGCTGCTTCAGGATATTTCTGTTTGCTAAAAAGCCCACAGGAAGAGTGGGAGTCAGCTTTGAGTTTTTATTTCTTAAATACACCACTATGTTTAATCAAAGACTTCAGGCTGTACCTGCAAGTGCTGTTTTCATACTGTGTGTTCGGAGACTAATAAAGATTAACAAAGCCTAAAACAGTCACATTTCCATTTTGACTAATGACTACTGATTTCTGTAGTTAATGTTCTGCTGTATTACAAGAATGGTTGTAAAAGATGGCCCTGCATCGTTTGTACTGCTCACCCTATAATTTATTATTTTGTATGCAAACATTTGCACTGTTCCACACAATCAGGAGCGGCTCCTCTGCCCAGATATAGACTGTCTCCATTGAATCAAAGTTGTTGGGCTGAGATCTGTCAGCTCCAGGTTTAGCCCTTGAATTGCCCACTGCCCCAGTTTTGCCTGAGATAAACCCTGTCATAGAGAGAGTAAGAGGCTCTTGGAGAATTCTCTCATGGTCCAACTACTTTTACTGAAAGTGAAGGATTTTCTGTGGATTCTTCAGATTCTCATTTTAAGACTTAGGGGCGAGGCATCTAAGATATTGAGAAAGATCAGGGGAGATCATGGGATGCTAATGTAGTGGGAGGACTTAGATGGCAAACATACAAACTAGGGAAACATGCAAAGAATAGAGAATCAAATCCATCCAACCTACTGTTTCATGACTTCCATCTAAAGCTTTTAACCTCTGTCTGCTGCACTTGGCTGCTTTCCCTTAGATATTTAAATTGCTGGAAGAGACGTGCACACACTCTGCTTCACCTGTGCTGGAGGACACGGTGGGACACATCGATTCAGTCTAGTTCAGTAACGCTGCTGAGTGGAGTACAAGTGATTTCCAGGTATACCTTGGCTAGTCATATACAACTGTATCTGGTGCCTGCTAGTACACATGCCTGTGGGCAGAGGGTTAAAACACAAGGTGGAACACCTTGTAGCTGTCTAAGCAGTGACTGTTCATGATACATAAAATGCTTCATTGCATCTTTTGTTCACAGGTTTCCAGGTAATTTGGAAAAGAGGTTAAAACAATATACCTACAGGCAGGTTCAGCTGGGAGGTTTTCGAAAGGTTTAAAATAGCTGCATCATTGACTCCCAACACATACTGTTACAGTTGGGGCTGCTGGCTGAGTTTCTTGAAAATAAGGCTACATATTCAGGTGATTTAAACCTCCATTTTTGAAAGCATTGTTTTTTTCATACTATCTCTGGATTTCAAGGCCTATCTATAAGATTTAGTTCTTTTTCAAATAAATGCCAGACTGAGGTGAGAACTGGTGAAGGGGTGCAATGATTTTATCAGGCATTGTGGATGCTCTGCACACCCAAAAATCAAGTCTCAAGTATTTGCTCTTCAGTGTGGCTCAAAGTATGCTCACCTCTTCTTTTCCTGGGGAGCAGCAAAATGAGAAATTCTTCTTCATACATGTTTTGTCTGTCTATATAAAGTGCGGCCAGTCTCCAGGCTGTTTTCTTCCTCTTGTTTTTCTCTTAAATCTATCTCTCTGTCTCTTGCTCATGTTTTTGTAGCTGTGAAGGTCAGTGACTGTAAAAAGGCAAGGTTTGGAGGGAGAGATAGTATTTTTCATCTGGGGAAAAAGTAGGCAAGTTGTTAGGCACTTAAATCCTTTTTCAGGTCTCAAATGTCTACTGTACAATAGAAAATTGAATTTTTGTTTCCAGGGGTTATATTTTGAAGATTTTCTCTTGGTTGCCCTTGAGGATCAAGCCTTGTGGATCAGTTGTAGAGTGGTTTTATAACAAATGAGGGCTCTGTGTGGGAGAGCGGCGCAGTCTGCAGTTGTATGGTTTCTCACAGGGAATGCCGGTGACCTTCAGCTTCAATGGGAGTAACAACCAACTGGTTCCTAACTGAGACCCATTTCCTAGGGTGTCTGGGGCAGTGATGTTGAGTCTCAGAGAGCCTCCTCTGTGGGGAAGCCTTCTAAATACTGTATCATTATGGCATGTGAACCATTTATTGAACTTTTTAGCCTGATTCATTTTTTCAGTCCACACTGTAATGAGAAGGCTATGATCACCTTGTTACCACTGATGGGCATGATTTGCCTGCTGAGCGTTTAATAATGATTTTTCCCCAGAGCCCACCACTTGCAGCCAAAGGTGATAGCTGCTCATATTTAGCATAGCTGCTAATATTAAAAAAGGGCTATGAAATCACTCTTTGCTGTTTTCAGTGGGGGGTTGAGAACATCTGTCTTGAATGTTACAAGAGAAAAAAAAATCTCAGCATGCGATTTCATGTGTGAATCTGTGGTAATCAGCAAGATGGAGTGTGATCTCTTGGGGGAGATTGTATCATTCTCCAAAATGAGACAAAAAGGGCAAAATAACCATTGGGGGGTTGTGAGTAATGGCTTTGTAACACCTAATGTATTCAATCTTTCTGTTAGCCTTTGGTTTATCTTGCTATTTTTCTTTTTTGGGGAAGGGAAATAACCGTGTGCCAGAATGTGATTGAATAAAGACTGTCATTCATGTTGCAGCACGTTATGAAAATATCCTGGAGAACCTAAAATAGTCCAGAGGGAGACTGAGAATAGCCACGTGTATGGCTTCAAAGCCCCGGTAAAAGTCAACGGGGTCACTCATTTTGATTTCACTCAGACCTACAGCAAATGTAAAGCCTTGAAAATGCAGTGATAGGTGCTAGATTAGAATTGGATGGGTCCCCACTTCTCCTGGGGCTGCCACCCCACCATTTCCCGTCCACTGGCTAAGGAGAAAATTTTAAAAGCCATTATTAAATTACCTTTTTACATATATTTTAATTATCAAGAATTCTTCTGAAGAAGACGTGCCTCATCCCAAGAAACCAGGAGTTTCCAGCAGGACTGTGCAGGGTGAGATCCCTGCAGAATCCTCAGTGGAAAAATTATCTTGACATTACTGTGGACATCACCATGCCTTTTCTGCTGTGCTTGAAAAAAAAGAAGTCACCTGTGCCTTTGGGCAGGAGTATCTTTCAAAAACACACCCCACCCATCCAGCAGAACTACCAGGCCTTGCTGGAGACCTGCTTGAATAACAAACGCCTGTTCATAGATGACAAATTCCCTGCTCACATCAGCTCTATTGGAACGGGAGCACTGCTAAAGAAACTACCCCGAAATTTGCAGTGGAAGAGGCCACATGTAAGTGACTTTCAGTGAATACTCTAGTGTAAGAGGATGATTACAGCTGATAGCCAGCAAATAGTTTTAGCATTGGGCAGACTACTCTTAGTCTTTAATTTAGGTGTGCTTTAACACCTCCAGAGATTACACTGATTCTGTCAGCTGTCATTTTGGAAGCTGGGGTACATGGAGTTTCATAATTGCCTTTGAAGCATTTGTTGCCCAAAATCATAACCAGCCTCATTAAGTTTACATCCAGTAATGCTCGGAGCAGGCAGGGAGAGCTGGCAAAGGGAGCAAGAGGAGAAAGTGTCCTTGGAGCTCACAGCTCTGGTGATCCCACCATGATTCTGTGATGAGAGTTCTTATGATGATGATCCTTCTCCCCAAAATTCAAGATCTTGACCTTTGAGAAGATTTCCGAGTTTCTAGACAGTTTTTAGCCTTTGACCCTTCTCCCATGGGCGACATACTGTTGTGATGCTGGAGGCTGCTACTTTCACAGGCAGCAGCAGGTGTCTTATCCTTTTACTGGGCTGTTTTTTTCCTGCTTAACTGTTTAGTCTGTCATACTACTTAGAGCAATCTTTTCCCAGCTCTCAATGCTGAGCTTCTATCACGACCAGTAATTGCCCATCAGTTAGTGAGTTGTTTTTAGTTCTGAGGCATCTGTTTTCTGCTTGTGCCCGTATTTCCAAGGCCTTTGCTGGTATCACGTGCTTAAACTGAACATCACAACAAGAGACACCTGGTCACAAGGGCTGGTCACAGAGCAAGTTCTCATAACAAATGGATAGATAACAAGTCCAGGAGGCCAGGACAGGGGCCTGGCACAGTTAGATAAGGCCTGTTACTAGCAATGGCAGTTCTGTTTTTACTGAGCCACTGAGCAACGTATTGCAAATCAGATCTTCCTGAAAGCAATGTATAGAATTATCTGAGAATTTCAGTAGCACTGACTCCTTATGTTCCCGTGTCTGAAAGGGAATTCTGCCAGGTAATAGTAGATAGCATCTCCTAGCTAAGTTATTTTCTAGCTGTCATATTTTGTCAAATTTAACCAATTTCTTAGAAGGGCTGAGTTTCTGCAAAACTCATGAAAATCACCGGGAAAGTAGAGGCACCTTTGCAAAGTGACCAGGAGAGCTTGGGAATAGCAGCCCTGGTTCTCAGAGTTTCATACTGTAATTTGGTCTCACAGATGTTTTATGTTAAGTCAGGATTGGCAGGTGGAGGATGAGTGCAGTCCTAAAGGACCTGAGCTGGGTTGCACTGGGCATTGTGGCTGAGGCAGCTATATCGGCACAGAGGTATTTGGGAGGGAAAGGTCAACAGGAGTCCTGGCCTCTACAAAGCCCTTCAGGTGCCCCTCCACCCCAGAGATATTAGACTGGACTTGAAATTTCCTCTGTTTCTCAGTCCACCATTTTGCTGCTCTAAAACTGCCTCATGAAGAAGGCTGCCGTTTGCTCTGGATTCCAAACTTAGCCCAGCAAAGGCTTTTTGAGGACGGATGCTGTGCATCTTTCAGTCCCTGTGCTGCAGAGGAAATGCTGAGATTCTGCCATTCAGCCTGCAGGCTTGTAGCTTGCTGCATCTATGACTGATGGCCTGCAAGCTGAACACCCAAATTCACCAAGGATAGGGGTTGGTGTCTAATTACTGTAACTGCCTTCTGAGGGTTTACTGTTTCTCTGCTGCTGCCTGAAGGGGAAGCCAACAGTGTGAAAATTATCTTGAGTAATTTGTGGGTCATTCGAGTGAAACTTAAGTTTGACACTTAGGTTATTAATTTAACCCCAGAGGCACTTGTGAGAGGAAAAAAATAACAACATTATTTCTCTCTGAACAATTATTCACAAACCCACTCTTGTCACAGCAACAGGAACTTCTGTAGCAGCCTAGTTAGTCTGTAGCACAATTGTCAGTGAAATCGTGGAGACGTCAGCCAGGTTAGCTGAAAGTTTGAACAGTTATGCTCTGCCATTGTAGCCTCTTTTAGCTGAAACTTGTCAGTAATTATGGAGGAGCAGGGCTGGCAGGTCTGCTGAAGGGTTGTCTTCTCAGTAAGGTGTTTGTGGAGACCCATAGCAATGCATCTGAGCACCAGTGGCTTATGTAGGAGACCAAATTCAATGTAGACCAAGCACAAATGTGTGCCCCGGCTTGTGTCAGGTTAGCCAGAGCACATGACAACGCTAGAGTTAGACCTGAACCAGAACAATGTCGCTCGGACAAGGGGATCCTAAAGTATTTTGAAAGCTTTGAATAGGCAGAGGGAATGTTTTGTCACATATCCATGAGCTTTTTACATCCTAGACTAGGAACTCACTGGATTTCCCATCTTATGAGATTGCAGCTCTGCATGCAGGAAGTCCTTGACTTCAAACTAAACCAGCTAATGTTACTGACTTGATTCTTACCCTCTTCTTTTTTTTTGCGTTGTGTGCTTTCCAGGCTTTGCACAGAAGTCCAGTGTTTTATGCTGCAAACAGAAAGCAACTTGATCTCTGCCAAGGATTGGTGGGTAAGGAAGCTCCTTTGTATAAATATCTAAGTATTCTTATACAAGATAACAGTTTGCATGGAATTTTGACTGTATAAAACTTGGCATAGAAATAGAAGGTGTGCATATCCTTATCCCTTCACTTGGCATGGTGTGGATGAAGCAATCATTCAAGTGGGATAGACTCAGTTAAAAATCTGGCAAGCTTCAAGGTGGAATTTGAGGCATGAGAGGTGTCTCCGCAAGCTGAAATCACCACTCTCTACATCGCTTCTGTGCATGCTAATACTGCAATAGGAAGTGATCCTGTGTTCTGACTGGTCTGTAATGTTGCTGCTTGACAATTGAACAGAGACCACAGAAGCAGGAAAACCTGAGACTTTTGGTATCTTTGTACCTAAGGCTTAGTGTGAGTGTGTTCTCTTCCCAGCTTTGCAGTTAGGAAAATAATTTTTATGCCCGTGTTAACCTAAAGTAAAAGGATATATTGTCATCTGCAAAACAGGTAGGGGCAGGACTAAATTAATTTTTAAGTGCTTTAAGCCCTTAAACACAAAATCTGATAGGTACAGTCTTGAATGTGAGATGCACTGGAAAATATTTTTCTCCTCTGAAAAGTTAATATTTTCAAAGAAAAAAGGAAAAGTTTTTTTTAATAGTGTGCCTTTACAGAGAACAGAAAAAAACCACGCGATGTCAGTAAAAAACCGCAATGTTTCCATTGAGAGCTATTTCTTGCTAAATTTCTTATTTAACCAAACAGTATACAAATGAAAAGAATCTGAGAGAACAATTACAAACAAATCATAGTTTGGTTAAGTAAAGCACATGTCTGGATCGTCTCATTTTCTGTGTATGATTTGTTATAATTGTAAAGACATCGGCACAACAGCTCTTCTGCTAGGATCTTGGTGGTGTTCCTGAACTTGGCTGACAATTCTTGCTTTTCAGCCAACTGCATGTGTCCGTTTGTCTTGGCGCAGAGAACTGCTGGTTCCTGGCGGCCCTGGAAGCCCTGACGTTCCACCAGGACATCTTGGCTGCAGTCGTGCCACAAAACCAGAGCTTCGAGAGGAAATATGCTGGCATTTTCCACTTCCGGGTACATCTGCTCCCCCAGTGTGTGCGAGGTCTTCAGAAATCCTCTGTCATGTTTTGTGTCACAGCCTTAGATAATTTGTACGGGGTTCCCCTTGGCCAGGGGCAAGTAGCCAGAGGGTATCCTGACCTAGAGAGTAGGCCACCACCCCTCCCACAAAGCAGGGCAGGCAGTGGATCGGCTACAAGAGGATATACCTCTGCTTGGCCCTTCTCTCCAGCTGTGCCCTACCCATGTTCTAATCCAGACAAAATTCTTCCTCCATAGTGGCAACAGTCAGCAGGACTTGAGCACATCTGCTCCAACCTTCTATGCCTTTGTGCAGCTCTTGGTGCAACTCTGCTACCCTGCAGTTAGGAATGAAGCCCAGCTGTGCCTAATTTCCCTGCTTAATCCTTTTACACCTTGTACATGCTTTGTTTTCTCCTCTGGTAGGGTGGGGCTGAGGAGTTGGTTCTGTGAGTGAGTCAGCACACCTCACTGACCCAAAGCAGTCCTTCCCCCAAGGCAGCTTGTCCTGTGTCCACAGCTAAGCTATCTTGCCTTTCCTGTTGTTTCAAGGGGAGGTGCCTTCCAAGGGAAACTTCAACTCATTCCTTTCCCCTGACAGTTCTGGCACTTCGGTGAGTGGGTTGATGTGGTGGTTGATGATCGCCTGCCGGTGAATGAGGCGGGGGAACTGGTCTTTGTTTCCTCAGTCTATAAGAACGTGTTCTGGGGAGCTCTTCTGGAGAAGGCATATGCTAAGTAAGTGACTCATTCCAAGTTATGCAAATAGTCTCTCTAAAATATGTTGGTTGGTGCCTACGCAGTTTGTTCTTGTTTATAAATGCATCTCCTAGGCCTTGCCACATTTGGAGTGTAGTAAATGGTTCTCATCTTTCTATTATTACACAATAAAAGCTGCCACTGCAGTAGCTATTATCAATGAAGACCCTTGAGTTTAAATCCAAGGGTTTAGGAGTCGTGTGAAAACAGATCTATTGTAGGAGATTGTCCTCTGAGCGTTATCGCTGTTTGGAGTGTATCGGCTAGGCTGGTGCCTTCCTTGTAAATACTGCAGAAGAATGGAAGGTTGCAGATAGGGATTTTCAAAGGTGGTTTCTGATGCCTCCTTTGATGTATTACCAGTTTGAGAAACCTCCAGGGAGTTTCATTTTGGGGGTCTGCTGAAGCATTGTACTTTGGTTTTGGTAGAAGTTCCCACTCTCAGCTTCCCCCAAAGCTGAAGCATTTAACAAGTCACATAGCACGGTGAGAATACTGGCCTCTCTCCAGGGTGTTTTGTCTAGAGTGATTTATCAGGACTAAGAAGAAAGCAACAAGGCATAACTGATAGAGTTTGTTAATACTGGGCTGAAATAATCTCTGCAAAGCAGGGAAAAATCCTAGTTAACATTGAGAGAAAGATCACAGCAAAGGCGAGAAAGTTCAGTTATTTTTGTTTGATGTTAGCATTAGAACAAAAAGACTGGAGAATGTTACTGCAACGGTAAAGAAAATCAGATTGGAGTCTGGGCTCTCAAGGCACTATATCTTAGATACAGCACAGTGTCTGGTGATAAATTCAGGCAACACTCACTAAGGCGAGGTTAGCAAAGTAGTGATGGGCATATTCTCACTGCTGTGCAGTGAGGGAAGACAATGAGTGAAGAGTCCCTTTCTGACTAGGCCAATCTTGGAAGCAATTTGCTAGATTCCTCCTTCCTAAATGCCAAAAATTATCTTAAAATTAAACATGAGTTACAGCCACCTTTTTGCTTTTGCAAACCTTTGTTGTATGTTTTCATTGGCATGCTGTTCTCAACCTATCATCTGTGACTATAACCCCAAGAATATATTGATGTCTTTTTTGCTAGACTCTGTGGCTCCTATGAAGATCTGCAGGTTGGGCAAGTTTCAGAAGCCTTGGTGGATTTTACAGGTGGTGTTAATATAAGGATCAATCTTGCAGCAGCTCCTCCTGATCTGTGGGATATCCTGACAAGAGCAACCTACACCAGATCTCTCATGGGCTGTCAGACACATTTAGGGGTGAGACTTGGAGTGACATCAAATGGCTTCACAGCCTTTCCAGACCTGTTTCCCTCTGCTCACCCAGTCATTGTGACTCAAAAAGTATCAAAGCTATCACAGGTGACTTTCTGTAGAAATAACATTCTTAATGTTAAACTTTGCACGTAGATTGATTGTCTGCTGCTCTCAGCTCCCTGTTGTTATGTTTAGGAACTGGTTTATCTATCAAAGAACATCTGTTAAATAAGGACCTACTGCATTTTCCCATTTTTGTTAAATAATTTTTCCATTTTTACAGATCCATTTTTACAGATGCTGCAGTGAGGCACAGAGACTCGTGGAATAAGCTTATAGCTAAGATAGAGAGGTGTGTGGTTCAGAACATGTATTCAAATCTTCACTTCCATGCCTTATGCTAACACTTCAGCTGCTCGGAAACCCTACTATTCTGAAAATCAAAACCTAACCTCCTGGTAGGTAGGTTTTCTCACTTTTAAAAGTGAGATGGTCTCTAGCCAAAGATCCACAATTTAGGAAGGGACTTTCCCAATTAACCTTCCAATTCCAAGCATACTGCAAAATATGGCAGTTAGGAGCTTAGGCTTAATTTTTTTTTTTCTTTTAGTTCAAACCATTCTCCATTTGCTTTGAGAGTCACTGCTTACACAGGTTCAGGTCTCTGGTATTGGTATGAGTCTGCTGTGTAAGTAGCAATAGAGTAAAAGAGTTTTTCCTTCTGTTTCTCTTCCTTGTATACAGACAACAAAGGTCCTGAAGAATGGGCTTGTTGCTGGCCATGCCTACACAGTAACTGGTATTAGAAAGGTAAGACTAACCCAAATATCCTGGGTCCAGGTTTGTTTGTATGTCAGCAATTTTTATTGCAGTCATAGGTTCAACCCTTAATCAGGGCAACTATGGTATCTCCTGCCTCAATGCTCTTCTTTTAATCTAAGGCTAAAAGAGATGGCATGCTTTGTAAAGATTCACTTTCAAGTGTGTCCGTTTTAGTATCGTGACCTTGATGTAAAGGACAATGGTTATAGATCAGCATATCTCTAAGGGTGGGAATGATTCATAGGGCTTTTCTGGGACAATTGCCGACGAATGCATCTTAGCTGTTAAGGATGAAAGGACTGGCCTTTGGGGCTGCTGGGAGGATGTGCTGAAACCTGCTTGGGGTAAAAAGCCTTCCTCTGAAATCAGAGGAGAGGCCATAAAGAAGTAAAGGTAATGGCATATAAGTGCCAAAACATGAAAAACTGCAGATGGAAATCTGAGTTAAGGCTAAAGTAAGGGAACCAAACTGGGCTCCTGTGCAGAGTGCAGGTGGACCCTGCTGATCTGCAGAAGTATCGTTGGGAGTCCCCCAAAAATATTTGTCTGGAGGTAAGGGGCAGTAAAATAATAGGTCCCAAAGAGTGGGAGAAAGCTCAGGCTTTCTCCTCCTGGATTGATGGATGACTATCTTGTCCAGCCTCAAAAGGAGGTTGACAAGGATGGAAAAGGACTTTGTGGGGCTTTGGATGTGTGATATAGATGTGGGTGAAAGCACATTCAATACCTCTAGCAAGAGATACTAGGAAAGCTAGAAGAGATGCTATGGGCTGGATGATGCACACCTGTGTCTCCCACACACAGCAGAAGGGGTTTAGGTACAGCGTTATCGGTGACATGTCTATCAGTCTGGCTGAGTATGTGGAGCTGATGTGAAGTCCACCATTCTGCTGTATACTGCCAACAAAGGCCCTGGTCAGCCTGGCTCCCTCTTCTCCCGCCATGGCATCCCAGTTCAGGGGCACTAATCTATGTGGTCACCCCATGAGCTGCATTGTGTTGTGCCATTGCACTGGGATAGGACTTGGCTTTCACAGTAGTACAGCCCTGCCCCTGTGTAAGCACAAAATGAGCAGATGTTGGAAAGGAAAAAGAATTTACGGTCAAGCATCTAAATCCGTGAGGTCTCTGGTTTCAGTTATAGAAGGTAAGATAAAGCATCTTAGTCTCTTTGTGCTGGAATTCAGAATTGCATGTCCATAGATTTTTATCATCATACTTGCTGGCATCTATGAGAACGAAAAAAAATCTTTGTTAATATCTGACGTAGTACAGTGATATAAACCAGATGAGAACTGCCGAGACCTTGGTAAACACAATGTTACTGTTTTCTGCAGGTGACCTGTCAATATGGACCAGAAAACCTAGTGAGACTGAGAAATCCATGGGGAAAAATTGAATGGAAAGGAGACTGGAGTGACAGGTGAGTTTAAAAAAGGGAAGGTCAGATGCTGAGTGGGAGGAAAGATTTCTTGGAGGAAAGATGCTGCCATCTTCAGGCATGAATTAGTGCTGGGAGCAGCGTTAAGATAAGTAAGTTGCTTGCACCAACCCTCTGGTGTCAAAGCAATGACTCGATAGATTTGTATTTCTCCAACAGATAGTGCTCATGTAGTTGGGCTCACTTCACACATGCAGCTTCCACAAGCTCAGTTCTACTTTTCCATTCACTGAATTCCAGAGGAAACATAGTATGAACATCAGATGCTGACCACGTTGCTGTGATCTGGATGGCATGCAAAGTGACAGATAGTTGTGCAGGAGGCTCTAAACAAACAGCATGTTTCAGGGCACACAGCCCTTTAGCACAAAAGGGACTGTGCAAGGTCCTCCACGGGTTGCAAAGTGTTGGAGTTGGGTGGCTGCGAAGGAGTGCTCAATCCTGGCTGTTTGGGGAAATACAATTGGGTATGAGATCAGAGGAAGCAACTAGTGAGGCAAATGTGCCCTATATTTGCATCTGCATGAATTTTTTTGATGGGGATCCATGAAAGACAGTGGTTTTCATTCTAGAGCACTGGCAACTATAGACTTGTATCCTATTCCTCTTTGAAGTGGAGCCTGTTCTTTCCTTCCAAGCTTCACTTCATTCCCTGAACAGACCCTGTTTGCTGAGGCTTGGGGGTAGGGAGGAAAGAAGAGCACAGGGAGGTGTTGGGAATGTGAGTGGCTTTCACCTTGTCTGCAGAGCAGTAACTTCTCTGATGCGTGTCTGTCACATAATGACAGCATACCAGCTGTTCTTGTTGAAGAGCATAATGAGCAACATACTGTGGGCCTGCCTTTTAAATGACTCCCAGCTGCCTCTTGTGCTGTCCTAGTCATTCATTCATTATGCCAAACACTCTTCCTATTACATCTCCTTTGACAGAAAATTAACCAACAAAACAGGTCTAGATTTTTATATTTTAGGTACTTGGAAGCTGCATGTGCAAGTGAATGGACTGGCTGATGGAAATGGAGCATTTCTGGCTTCTGCTGGAGAAAACTGGAGCCACTTAGCTACATCTCATGGGGCCCAGAGTGCTTGCGGACAGTCTTCTGTGGCTGAAGACATAGGGGGCCTGTGTTTAGTGGGGGATAAATGTGGAGATATGTGGCGACAGGGATTTGGCCTCTTTTTATAGGGGAAAAGTATGTACTCTGCCTTGAATTTGAAGGCACATTTGGTTAGTCACCTCATGTTTTTGCTTTCAGCTCTTACAAATGGGAGCTGCTGAGCCCCAAGGAGAAGATTTTGCTGAGGAAAAAGAAGGAGGATGGAGAATTCTGGTAATGGCACAGTCTCACCTCTCCCCTCTCTGCCAGTAGCTCTGGGGCTGCATCTGGAGATGAAGCAGCACATTGCCACTTAGGTCTGCTTTGTAACAGCCCACACTGGCTTTCTTGCTCTCCTCCTCTGCTTGTTCGATGTGAGAAGCAGTAGCTGTACTGACATAGAAGAGATGCACTGTTCTTCAATGGCAGGAGTGAGGGAGAAGCAGGACACTGCTGGGTCTCCCAGGGCTGCTGGAGACGTGGGCAGCTTTCCGGAGCTTTTGTCCTGGCTTTTATTTTTAAGATAGCTTTGGGAAGCTCTTGCTTGCCATGTGTTTGTTCATGGTTTCTCCAGAGCTTCTGCCACGAGGTGGCAATGTTGTCGCCTGTGTCGTTTCACTGTGGTCCCTTTGATGGCAATATTATTTTAATCTCTGTGCTGCTATCGTTTGCTGAAATTTTAGTCGTGCATTTGCTACTCCTAGATGCTGCTGTTGGAGCAGACGTTCTCTTCTTTACTGCCTAATAAAATATGAACATTACCATATGTAACACAGAATGGTTTGGCTTCGAAGTTCCCTGCTCCCTTTCCTTTTCTTTTTATAAGCCATATGGGCTAAACTAAACTGCTGACAAGATGTCTCTTGGCACTGTTTTCCCAGGATGTCTCTGCAAGATTTTAAGATTCATTTTGTAGATCTGATGATCTGTAAATTAACTCCAGACCTGATGAGCAGGGAAGATGGAAAGAAGTGGATGTACTCCCTGAAGAGTGGGAGATGGGTTAAAGGAAGTACAGCAGGAGGAAGTCTGGGATTCTGTAACGGTGAGAGGTGCTCTTTTGGATGACTCCGGGGTAACATTGCTCTGCCAACTCAGTTAGCAGCACCTTATACCTGTTAATGCAAATTTGACAACAGAAACATGCTGTTCCTGCTTAACCCTCCACACAAACATCAGAAATAAGCAGCTGAATGACTTTGACTAGCTTCTGCTATCACAGAAGCTGCATCACTTGCAAACATAGGGCAGTGGGCTGGTTATGGCATGAAATGAGCTGCAGGATCCTAGGATGAATTGTGAACACTGAGCTTCTTTGGGGCGTTAAACTTGCCTATTCAAATTTGCATCCTCAGCACCTCCAGGAAGTGGTATTTTAAGTAAAGTGGATGGGAAATGCAGAGGCTCAGCTCTTCTGGAAGCAGAGCAGGTGGGGTCTGAAGTCAGCTAGCCCATACATGGCAGGTGATGGAGGAATTTATAAACAAATTGAGCTCTTAGTTGCAGGCAAGCAGAAATGTAGTTCCTTGTTCCTGGGCCTTCCTTCTGTCTTCAGTGGTTGCACTGCTAAGCTTGTAAACTGTACCCTAAGATCAAGTCCCTGTGGGGTCTGGAGGTCCAGACAACCTGTGACATATTCAGTCTGATGCCAGGCATCATGTAGGAAGCTAGCAACCAATTCTGTGATGGAAAATGGCATCAAAATGTTTTTCTTGTTTTGCTTAGGCAGCTTTTGGATGAACCCTCAGTACTGGCTGAATGTTTTACCAGTTGAAGACAGTAAGAAAAGCCTGGGTTCCTGCAATGTGGTTATATCCCTGATGCAGAAATACAGCAGCAAACACCGGAACCGAGCACCTCACCTCTTCATTGGATTTTCACTCTATAAGGTGTGAAGAATTGCTTTGCCTTTCTTGCTTTCACTAAATAGAAGAACTTCCAGCCCCTGTAAATTGTAGAGCTTTGCAGACCAGGAGTTTTGTTGTACGCAGGGTAATCTGTGCTCTTTTCTCCTTGCCTGTGCCCAGTCTCCTTGCACATCAGAGCTAGACTCCTTCAGGCTCTGTGTCCCACTTGCTGCATCTCCGGCATGCTGTGGGTCAGCCTGCAGAACAGTGAGAAGTGCCTCTTGCTTCGGAGCACACTGGGCTTTATTTTGCCATCTCTGAGAGTACGTGCAAGAGCTGGGAGAGAGAGCCAGGAGCCTCCTTGCTTTGGGGCAAGGAGAGCGCTGCCCTCAGGTTATTTCCAACCATGGTAAAATTGTGCTTGAGAAGTGTTCCTAGTATGATGTGGCAACTGCCCATGTGCGAATACTGCTAGTTCCCTGTATATCCAGGGGTAAGTGGATATCGCTAGGAGTGAGAGTTCCCCCCACCTGCAATTCTCTGCTTATCTGAGTGCCTTGCAGAGCCACTATCCTCCCTTGAACAGAGCCACAGCTCTTGTTGCTGCTGTGAGTTTGCACAGTTATGGAGAGATGGCTGTGGGGAAGGGTTGTCAGGTGGAGGGGCTGAGGTTTCTGCAGGCAAAGACCCTAGCTGGACGTACGTAGCTGCTTCCCAGCAATGACATGGCTATGTTGTGTGAGACCCAGAGGTCCCTGTCTGACAGATGCTCTGTTTCTTTTCTTCCTGCAGGTGGACCTACAGGTGAGTCCCATGTCACCACTGCTGGCTGTTTGCTGAGGGACCTGGGCTGGTACACCTATTAAGACAACACTAAAGGTGTTGCGTTTGCTTTTGTTCCTTGGCTGACAGATAGTGACAGTGTATTTGAGTTCAGTGAGGCACCACAGAAAGTCACTATTAATGCAGAGCTATTCACTGACTCTTTTGAAAAGCAGCCATATCAGGAGGGCTCAGTGTCCTTAAAAAGGGGCATTAGTTGTTCAGCTTCTGCACTGGGTCTTCAAAGGTGTTAGAAGTGGCATCGATGTTTACCTGATCAGCACTTTGTCCCTGCTGCAATTGTGAGATGGTGCCCCAGTTTTGACTGTGTCTAAGCTGGACTCACTGCAGCTCTCGAGGGAACCAGAGCCACCTTTCTGCTGCCTCCTGGTCTTGGCGTGGAGTGGGACCAGAGCCTGTGTCCCATGCAAGTCAGGAGTCTCCTGGAGAGCTCAGGTTCTTCCTGGCTGGGGATGCTCTGGAGCTGATGCTACAGGTGTTTTCAGCTTCCTCAGGCCAGATGTGTTTCTAGCATTTTCTTTAGCCAGGAGCCTTTGGGACCTGAGGAAGGGCCCTGGAAGTTAAACCCTGACGTAAGACCCCATTTTGGCCCTGACCTCGGGGCTATTTAAAACAGGGAAAGGTTTTGCTCCTTTTGTCTTGAAAGGGCCTATCTTCCACTCTGTTACTACTCAGAACACCTCTTAAATGAGAGTCCCTTTGAATTTGGGCTGGCAAAGAACTAGTTTGGGTGTATGGTCAGGGCAGCACAATTGTGTTCCCAGTTACTGTATTTCCAGCATGGTAACCACGAGGTAAGATGCCACTCCTTCCTGACTTAAATATTTTGGACACTCTCAGGGTTACAGGTGAGTTTAACTTCCTGGCAGAGGGGGTCTGAGTGTGGCCCTAGCACACTGCTGTGCCACACTGGAGGGAAAATGATGGCAGCCAGGACTTTAATTTCAGGTTTGTAACGGTTGCCAAGATCAATACAGAGAGATGGCAAGCCACAAGTATCTAAGGTATTGGAACTACAGTCAACAAAATATCGACTGGAATATAAAAACTTTGAATTTAACATAAGAGGCATGAGGAAGAGTAGCCCTGAACCCTTCAGAAGAGAGATTGCTCTATTAGTAAGAAAAATACTGGCAAAGGAAGAGAAATAGCATCTCCACTATAAGGCTGCAGAGTAAAATGGCTAAATATTTTGAGGAACAGCCAAGATCAGAAGGTGATAGTGGGTTTAGCTGGCAGGATTATTTATTTGGCTTGTGTACTGGGCACTCAGTGGCATTAAAAATGAGTTCAGTGTTGCCTGGATCAACACTTTATCCATCCTCCTATTGCAGAAAAGTGCCTGCAGAGCAAAACATCTGTAAGAGCCAAGAGTGCCAGGTGGATCAAGGACACATGCATGGTGTCAGGACTAGGAATCAGGTTGCTCCTGCAGTATGCTTAGATCACAGGTGCTCTGAAAAACCCTCTGCTGCCAGATTCTTGTGCAAGGGACAAGCTGGGGACAAAGTGCATGGCACATATGGGATAGGAGGGGTGTTGTGGCTAGTGAAGAGCAGTCTCTAGAGGAGTTCCTGCCTGCAGTCATTTCTGCCAGTATGGAAATGACTTTTGCAGTAGCCACTTTGACAGGAGCCACTTCTCCTCCTCGGTCCTTGCTGCTGTTCCTTGCAAGTACTATTATATTGTTGATAAGGTTGCAGGAAGCCCCATTCTTTGTCATATTAGTATTGGGCAGGGATGGTGTGTTGTGAGAAACGCCATGTCCTGGGGGGAGACTGAGTCCCTTGGGCCCTGTTATCTGCTTGTGCTGTAAAAAAATCAGAGGTGTGAAGGCAGGCTGTCTATGCCATGGCTGTGAATTCTCCGCCTGCCTTTTGTCCATTTGTTCAGCTGGTGCAGAATGCATTTCTCTTGTGTTTCTTCCCTTAACAGTACCAGGAAAGCAACAGAAAGCTGCCCCCAGCTTTCTTCACCCGACATCATCCTGTAAACAAGCACCAGGTCTTCCTTGATGAGCGGGAAGTGACTCATGACTTCCACCTGGAGCCTGGCATCTATGTGATTGTCCCATCGACCCTGAAGCCTCAACAGGAGTCTGAATTCATCCTGCGGGTCTTCTCCAGGAAGCATATTCTTCGGTGAGATGCTGCTGCCCCTCTGCCAGCACCTAATTCTCTAGGATGGTGGGATGGTCTGGTCTTTCTAGTCTAATGTGGGCAGCATAAAGACTTTATTCTGTAAAAAGCAGCACAATCTCTTTTGGAGAGGCTGGCTGTGGGTTTCTCCCACCTTAGGATTCTCAGTGGCTGAAGCAATGCTTTTGGCCTTACCCTTTCAAGAAGTATTGAGCTAGACCCACACAAGGGATTCTTGCAGCATGCTTGTGTTTGAGACTGTGGAGAGGGACAAGAGTTTTTAATGCACCATCAGTTTGCCAGGAGACCCTGCTGGTGATACTAGGATGGTTGCTTCTGCAGAAATGATGCTTTGGAGACTTCAAATGCCAGCAGCCCTTCAGGAGCCATATGGACATGAGGGCTTCCCTTACTGCAGCTGTAACACTAGGGAAAAAAACATGATGTAACAGTGGGTTGGGGCCCCATCTGGGGATGGGGGATGCCACCTGTGATGAGACAAAAACCCAACTCTGGGATATCTCCTTAATGTGTCTGCTTTTTTGCATCTCCAGGGAGATGGGTGGGAACACCAGTTTCACCCTCTCTAAGGTGAGTGAGTATGAGGGGAGTGGGAGGTCTGTGGTTTGGTCTTCAGCTCTAAACATTGGGTTTTTCCTGTTGCTCTGCCCTATGGAGAGGCTGAGTGAGAACGTGAGCGCTTGTGTTGCAGCACTTTTGAAAGGGCAGCTTGGGTTTACAGGGAGAGTCCCTTGGACTATGTGGACAGATGCAGTCAAACATGAGGGGCAGGCAAATTTTTAGACCCCTTTGTTAGTTACCTTTTTGTGAAGTTCTTTTAGTGACATCATCTTATTTGCTCTGCAGTCTTTCCTATTCATGGCTTTTTGGAGACCTCTGGTCCATTCTTGCATTTCTCCCTGCTCCTTTCATGCCTTGAAAGTTTTGAAGACATTGTGGGACCTGAGCAGTACTGTTCCCATGCAGCGATCTATAGATTATTTTCAAAACAACTGAGCTCAATGGTAGTGCATGCATGTCTGCAACTTGTGCCAGGGAGTGTACAGCATAGTCTGTTCCCTTGGCATAAAGAGGGCCATTCCTCCTTTCATCTCCTCTATCCTGCTGTATTACAGAGGACAGAGACCCTTCTCTCTCTTCTTGGCATGGAGTGAGCCCCATCCTTTCTTGCTGCACAGCTTGGTGGGGGGGAAATGTTTCTCCCCACTGAGTGTTATCTGAGTATTTCTTTCCAAGAAATAGCATTTCAGTGAGGTGGGGAGCTATCTTAACAATGGGCTGCATTAGTTATGTAGCATTGATTGCAGTGGTGGAGAGAAGGTGGAAGGGCAGGGGACGAGAGTGCGGTTCTGGAAAAGCATCTTTAGTAACTCTGTCTTAGGTGGTAATATTTTTCTTCCTTGAGTTAATGATTTTATTTATTTATTTATTTTTATATACTAAAGGAAATTGTTGATAGGTATGAAGGCAAGATTTGGGAGGATTTCTTCACAAAGCATTTTGAACAGGTAAGTGTGTGCGTGAATTGCCAGAGTAAACTCCTCCAGAGCTATTATGTAGCTCTGTGAAAGTAAAAGCATATGGACGTTCAAGGAAGGTTTGGACATGGAAGTGTGGGGAACAGAGAGGGGCCACAGGAGGTTGGGCTGTGTATACAGTGCTGATTCCATGCAGCAGATTTGACCGTGAAGCTTAGCAATATGTTAGCATCGAGATAGCCATACTTCTCTACACAACAGGGTGTGAATGCCTGGAATTTAATGCCACAGGACATTTGAATGTGACAGTATCAACAGGCTCAAAAGGTATTAGTAAACTGATGGGCAGCAGGTCCATAAGCAGATATTAAAGGACTAGGCAGGGATGTACTCTCTAAGATCCCTTTTCCAACAGGTGTGGGTGCCAGGGAAACAGGAGAATGTACTGCAGAAGCCGACCAGGCTCATGTGCTCTCTCTAAACATTAATTCCTGTTGCCTGTATTGGGGACAAAGTGGTGGGCTATGGGTGTTCTTACATTCCTTGGGGAAAGGCGCCTGTTAGAGAACACCCCCTGAAATATTAACACTTGTCTCATATATCCTTCATCACAATTTGATGACAGCTAACTTGCTTTGAGAGGTGAAGTAGGTGTTGGGTGTCCCATCACCTCCTTTCACAATAAGTGAAAGATTCTTTTTAATGATCTCTCTGGCCTGATTTGGGACGGAGTTGACCTTCAGGGATCCCACTAACTATGGTGAGGGATGCAAGTGTTTCACCTTTCAGAAAAGGTGACTGTGTGAGTTTAGCAGCATACCCTGTATTTGGCAAACACGATTTCACAAAAGCACATTTGCAGTTTTAGTAGCAGTATTTTGATAATTGAAGCTGTTACTAAAAGCAAGCAATGCTTTTACTTTTTGCCACTTGTTTATGATTTTGATTTTGAGAATGGTGTGGCTTTTGGATGTGTTAGAAATTGCCCCATATTGCGAGGTGCTGATCCTTTGCTGTCAGGAGGTCCAAGTAGGCACAGAGGCGAGCAGTACTGCCATTTCCTAATGCATTACCCTGGCATGCTTCAATGATATGAAAACAGGCTTTTATTTTCGAAGAGCGACATTTAAAAAAGTTCTCCAAACAAACAAATGTCACAGTTTCTAAAAAACCTGTAAACTTTAGTATAACAAGGAGGAGGGGAAGTCTCTGCTTTGAAAAGTTTGGGGAGGAAGGATTCAAAAGTTTCCCTCTTTTTTGTTTGTTTGTAAATGATAAAGGGGAAATATTTGAAGCAGATCTCTTGACAGTGTGCTTGATGGGACAAGTGGCACCAGGGCTGAAAGGTTAACGGTCTGGATCTTCACTCAGTGTAAATCTACCTATTGATCTGTGTGGCGCCCTGAGAACTTCACCCAGAGCAAACTGCAGCTCTTGCAGGCTGAGAGTCTTGTCATATTCAAAGGGAGTCTTTTCTATTGATTTTCACAGTGGCTGGAGTGGGGCCAGAAAAGCAAAGAATGAAGATGGGACATGCTGGGAAAACAAAAGAGGGAGAAAAGTGATTTAATAGTTTAAAACAAAACAAAAAAATTTTCTTCCATATCACAGAATCCTGAAATAAATGCTGTTCAGCTCCAGAGGATCCTGAATAATATATCTTGGAGAAGTAAGTGCTGAGAAATAATGTTTCTGTAAAATAAACCCTCTTAGAGAAAAGCCTCAGTTCATGTATCTGTTTCTTGAATTCTGGGAAGAGAAACTGGCTTGAATCTGACTGAACTGATTCTTCTGATGCCATGTTAGATTTCCGGAGAGGAAGGATTTGCAAGGGTGTGAATCAACATAGTAGAAATTTCGTAAATGAAGCTAATCTAATTTGCATTTCAACAACTGAAAGAATGAGGGGGAAGAGCAAGCATAGATATTGTGTGTGGATGCAGACTCTGAATTTGACCGCCAAACCCAGCTTGACCTCAGCCTTGATTCTGAAATTGTATCCCATTTCACCCTGTGCCACTGCCACAGTCTCGGCGGTGCCACTGCTAGAACGTATAGAAAGTTAGTCTGGTCTGTAGGCAGTTATGTGGTGGAAGGGGGTCTTGTCTGTTCCTTGCTCTGTTTGTGTTTGGGAGACAGGATGGAGGTGCAGGTAGCCTGTGTAATTTAGGCTTGTGATTACCAGGTGAGCCCTGAGGTTGTCCCTCTCATGAGGACTGTGACATCCACTCTGCCAGTGGCAGCCCAGAGCACTCCACAAACTCATAATTTGGTCCCTAGTTATAAATAATGCTACCTGGACAGCAGCAAGGTATTGCAGTGGGTGTTTCCTCTGAACAACAGCAATGAAGTTAGAGATACAATGATGAATCCAGTTTTCCTTCCCAGCTTCTTCACTGGTAACATCCAATGTGCAACACAGAAAATACACCATCCAGCCATTATAGGCAACAAAGAAGACGAACAAAAGACTGATGTGATGCCTTTTCCACTTAAGCTGAATTTGACATTGCTTCCTTTTCTACACAGCTGGACAAGGATAGCTCTTCTGTCTTTGCGAAGTGACCCACTAGGCACTGTCTTATCTGTGAGAAGACTATGTTGAACAGAGAGTCTTTATTTTTCATAAGTAATCAATTTTAAGACATTCATTTAAAAACTTTACTTGATTCATATTTACTAAACCAGGGCTATTACAAGATTAAAACATCTTCACTTTCTGCAGAGAAGGGATTGGTGAGTTATGGTTCTGTTGCTTGCTTAGTGGAAGTCTACAGAACATCTATAATCATGATTTGCAGTGAGATAAGAGTCTATTTCTGTTACTCTTCATGTCACTTATGTATAAACCAGGAATGCTAAGCTTTGATGCAGCATCATGTTTTCAGTGATACCTGTACTTCTAATTATATTAACAGAGCTGGCAGCATGTCTGTGTGAGAGATGCTTAGCACAAGGGTTTCAATTAATCTGCAGTGCTGCTCCCCAAAGCTCTTCAGGTCAAGTGACTTTGCTCAAGGTCATGCAGTAAATTCTGTTTGGGATTACAGTTTTGAATGTTCTTTTCCTTCCATTTTTCTCTAATAGCTGGAGATAGTGCACCATATTTCATTCCGTATTACATGCCTGCAGGGAGCTCATATTGGCTTTTCTGAGACTAGTAGAATCCATCCTGTTGCCTCATACTTTTATCATCATAAATGATACGTCTTCTCAAGTGGGTGTAAAATTTCACAAAGGCTTTGGGACCTGAGCCCTCTCAAGTGAGGGGGAATTTTGTGAGAGTCCATTTTTGTGAGATATTCAATGGCTCCTCAAAACACTTTTTTTTTTTTTTTTTTTTTTTTTTTTTTTTTTTTTACCCAGAGTTTTCGCCTCAGTTTCAGTCTGGATGCCTGCCAGGGTATCTTGGCGCTCCTGGATGTATCCTTGGCATGGGTGGTACTTCTGACTCCTATAATCACTGGAGCACTATTTCTTAGGGCAGAATGGGTGTTACTGTGATTTCTTTACCACCAAGACATGGCCCTGCTTATTGAGCTTCTCACCCTTCATAATGACAGTTCAGCTGTGACAGAATGGAACTGGTTTGGGAAAGCGTTGATTCCTGCCACCTCTGAAATCAGCAGCCAGGTTTCCATTGACTTTAGTGGGAGGAGGATCAAGCCTATAGATAGGCTTATGGGCTAAGAAGTCATTATCCTCATATTATAATTGTGTGAAAGTTAGAGTGACTATGAGTTTTTGATTTGTTGGGGGTTTTTTGTTTAATGGGTGCTCCCTGACTTTTAATTGACATGTTCTGACCTTAATTCTCTGACAAAGCTGAATGCCACTGGCACACTGAGTATCCAGGAATTCAGAATCCTGTGGAAAAGACTGCTTTTCTATTTGGTATAACAATAATTTCTGTGCCCACTTGCAATATCTCCCTGCTCACCATCCCTTTGGTGTCATCTGTTAGTTTTGGGGGGTGTTGTTTTGTTTAAAACTTTTCTTTTTTCCTCTTTCACCCCCCATGCCCAGGAAATTTTCCAGAAAAGAGACACTAACAGATCAGGAAAGCTTGACCTTGTGGAACTGCATGCAGCTGTACGGGAGACAGGTGAGCCCACAGCACATCTTGGCAAGTGTCATCCTCTTCCTCATAAAGGCTGGAAAAAGCCCAGGGCTGGGAAACATTTGAGAATTGTAGGTAGAGCCCAGGAGGAGTAGAAAACATCACAGGCTGCATAGTCTTAGCCATCTCTGCTTCCTCCTTTAGCTGGGTAAACACATCTAAAAATTATTTTGCTGTGGGATGGGCTACTTAATCTTTGCCCCAGTGTGGTCTCATGCTGATAGTTCTCTGAAACAGAAGTGCCTGTCTATTTTAGACCCAGTTTTTAAATCTCTTCCTCTTCATTGGTAATTTAATTTTAGAAGACTGTGTGGGGTTGTGCAGATATATGCAGGAGGCCAGATCTAGCTCATATTAAACTGCTATGGCTGCTGAAGACGACAGCTCATGGTCTGAACCTGGAAGTGTGGGACTTGCAGAGGCAATATTGGTGTCACTAATATAATGTCTGAAGCTTGATCTAGAAGTAGAGGACAATACATATGGGTCCAAATACTGGACCAAGCTCTGTTGCTGTTACTGGTATTTGAGTGGGGACTGGTGCTCAGTCTTGTAGCTTCATTTGCATGTTTACAGCTTAAATTCCACTCCTCTTTTTCATTTGTGGTTCATCTGAGTCAGTGAAAGCACAGTGAGAAACCCAGGTGGACCTCTGCTAAAGCAAACTAAAATCCCACACCATGAGTAGAAAATACCTTTATTCCTTGCAAATGCTGCTGGTCATTGGGACTGATGCTTTCTGTATGAGATTCCTCTGGATTTTCTTTTTCAACTCCTTTCCTACCCTCTTGTGGAGTATTGCTCTTAAACACAGCTGCTGTTATTACCCTCATACCCCATGTGTATTTCATTCTAACTCTGGCAGGACTGTGAGTACAGGGGATCAGATCTGAACCCTTTTCAGTTTGGAGGAGATATCTCAACACAGTGGTCTAGTTTGGGCTGGCTAATAGTTGATTATCTTAGGGGAGGTTTGAAAAAACAAGCTGTTTGAGCGGTCTTCAGCCCTTCTCCATTGTGCATGCTCACAGCTATGTGCAGACGTATAGCTGTGCACATTCAGCTGTGTACAGCTAGGAGTTGCCATCTCATTCTGTTCTCCCCCCCCCTTTTTTGTTTCCCCTTTTGTGAAGGCATTTCGCTCAGCAATGAAGTCTGTAATTTGATGGCAATCAGATATGGTGACCCTGACTTAAAGATCAGCTTTGAGAGCTTTGTGTGGTTCATGCTTCGAGTGGAGATCATGGGAGGTGAGGCTGGTGTTACGTGGCTGGCCAGGTAAGCTGGGCTGCCCAGCTAAGCCCTGGTCCTTCTCATGCTGTTTCAGCTGGCAGTGGCAAGGTCAAACTTAGAAGGACTGGATTTCTGAATAGACCAAGAGTAATTGATTTAAAGCAAGGGACAGATACAGAGGAAATCAAGGTCACTCTCTTTACCTTTCCACCAGTCACTTTCTACAGACATCCCGGCTGTACATATCAGAGTAATTTAGCTCCCTGCAGGTTTGCACCAGCCTTCTGTAAGAGGAGGCAGGCAAATTACAGATGGAAACTGCTCATTTTCCAGGAAGAAGAGAGCCTTGGAATATACGTTTGGTGGGACTGCAGTTGTGATGATGAGACAGCTGATGCTCAGTCTGTGAGCACATGCTGTAGATACTTTGCACATGTCTCAAAACTGTAGTGGGTGAGGTTGGGACTGCGTGGATTTCAAAGTTTCAGAGCTGGATGGACAGACAGTAACATGCCTGACTTTATTCAGCTGCTACCTGTGTCCCAGCCCTCAGGGATCTTCCAGCAACAGAACAGAGAAGCTCACATGCACTTGTGAATAGCCTACAAACTCTGCCTTTGAGGTTTTTCCTGAGACAGAGTGTCTTGGCTGGTGTTGGTCTCTTGGCTACCAAGTTAATGCTCCTCATTTATTTCTTTCGCAGAGGCCTTTCGCAACTTAACACAAGATGGCAAAGGCATTTATCTCCGGGAATCTGAGGTAAAGCCTGTTCCCTGATTGTCAAATGTGGGCTTCTTCATTGCAAGTGGTGCTGCATGTTTTTTTCTATAGCATTAAAAAAGGTATCTTTACCTGATCACTTACAGAGTAGGTTGTTATAAACAACAAGGAGCTTCAGGCTTCTAAGTCTTCTGCTTTATTATGGCTTCTGCTCCTTCTGGAGACAGAAAATCTCCAGTGGCCCATAGGACGGTTCAGTTGTGAGTATCGCAGAGCTCTCAAAGGGATGGATGAGTTCAACCCACTTTCACTATTATTTTACAGTGGATGATGATGACACTGTATTCCTGAAGGAATGCTGTAGAGGAGGGGACAACCAGACCTCCACCAGAATGAAGAATCATAGAATCATAGAATTATTGTGGTTGGAAGAGACCTCAAAGGCCTGCACCAGAATGAAGAATCATAGAATCATTGTGGTTGGAAGAGACCTCAAAGATCATCAAGTCCAACCGTAAAGGAAGGCTGTTTTATGTCAACTTTCTGTGCACGCTGGACTCTCTGGGCTCAACCCTGCAATTTACCTCATATGAGAAGTCTTCCCCTCAAGCAGACTTGACCTAATAACCACAGACTTGGTGAACTGAAATTTTGCTGATGAATGTATTTATTTCGAGTCCTATTTCACCTCAGACAACCCTTCTGAGAAGAGACTGCTGGATGGGCTGTTTTGTGTCAACTTTCTGTGCACGCTGGACTCTCTGGGCTCAACCCTGCAATTTACCTCATATGAGAAGTCTTCCCCTCAAGCAGACTTGACCTAATAACCACAGACTTGGTGAACTGAAATTTTGCTGATGAATGTATTTATTTCGAGTCCTATTTCACCTCAGACAACCCTTCTGAGAAGAGACTGCTGGATGCCAACCACTATGAGTGCACGGTGTGACACCATGGAGCATAGTGGCGGAGTCCTTGGGGTCACCTACTTAATGCTGATGTTCCACAGTTACTCTTCTAGGATGGCATACATTGTGGCAGTGCCCAGAGGCTGTGCTTGGTGATGGGGCTCTTGAGCCTGCGAGAGAAATGTCTCCTGCCCTGCATGGCTCATCACCTAATAGAGGAAATCCCAGTTCTGCAGCTGCCAGGCCCATGGAAGAGGGCAGGAGTCGGAGTGCTTGTGGGGAAGGAGGGGTGGGGACTCTCTGAATGAACACTCTTCCGTAGCCATGACTTGGAAAGGTGATTTGCAAACATTCAAACCATCTCTTTTGCTTTTATAAGTCAGCATTGCCCTATTGAAGTGAAGTAAGTTGATTTGACCAGGTAATGAGCTGGGCCTCCAGCTCTTTGTTATGGATGGAGGCTGTGATGTTTGCATATTTCTTTCAGAAAGGCAGTGGGTTTTTTTTCTGCAGATTGAAAAGTACAGTATAGTGAGAAGTAAACTGATCCCATACTGTCTTTAAGTCACTGGAGTTTGGCAGGGAATAGGTGTTCTCTGTAGCATGATAGAGGAGCAGTCTGCTAACACATTTGGATATTTGTCAGTTACTTTTTATAAAGCAGGATGAGAGAGAGAGAGTGCGTGTGCGCGCGTGTGTGTGTGTGTACTTTTAACGATGCAGGCACATGTAGGTTGTAGCTAATTAAACAGTGGCAACTGGGCATGTAGCTGTGAACAGCGTTGGAGAACATGTTTTAAGTGGGACTATTCACATCAAACGCCATGCTAGAGTTACTTGATGCTTCTGTCTGTAGGATCCAATTAAACAATGGCAACTGGGCACGTAGCTGTGAACAGCGTTGGAGAACGTTTTAAGTGGGACTATTCACATCAAACGCCATGCTAGAGTTACTTGATGCTTCTGTCTGTAGGATCCTTTTTCACTTTCTTACCATTTATTTATTTGGGCTGGAAATTTCCACACTAAGTGCCTGTTACAGGTTGCTGCTTTGATTGATTTCTTTTTTTTTTTTTTTTTGCATTCCTGTGGACAGCACAATTGTGGCTCTTTTCCAGTGCACAGCCTAGTCTGGGCACTGAATGAAACAGCTCCAACAGGAATGAACATATAATGAAAGACCATACTCTAATGCCTTTGTAGGAAGGAGTTATATTAAGCTTGCATAGACAGCCTTCCCTCTGGCTTTTTGTGACTTTTTAGGTGCTTAATCTCATAAATACCCTTTTAGAGTGTGCATGAGATTCAGGAATGAGGTGGACTGTGGATAAGAATGTAAACATGAGCAAAAGACTGAGCTCAGGTATGCGCTTACTGCTGCATTGAAGCCTGTGCGATAGCATAAGCATATTTAGAGAGGAACCCCATCGCGTCTAAGTGTTCCCACTCAGAAGGCATTAAACGGTAAAAACAACAGTGCGCACTTTATTCCCCAGAACAGTCTGTTTCTAAACAGTGTCATTTTCATACTGGTTTTCTGAGAAAACTGTTAGGACCAGATAAATAGATCACTGTGTTTGTACTTGTTTATTACAGATAATGTATCTGTCATGTCTTGTGAGGGGCCTGCTGTGGTGTCACTGGAGCCACAGGGTTCAGATCTGCGAAGCAGAGCAGGTTGGAGGGAGCAGGGATATCCAGAGCCCTTGAGCAGCAGTGTCGCAGCGGTGCTGTCCTGCTGGGCTCCCGAAGAGGCTCCGTTAGCAGCTCCCATCACAAAGCACGTGCACGCTCCCAACTGTGATGCCTCTGTTTCCTTTTGTGACTTGCAGCTGAACATGACGGTGCAAACTAAATTAGCCTGATTTAATTTGCACTCAGCTCAGTGGGGGATGTTATAAACACTGATTTACTGTGTGCAGGAGCAGCACTGGAAGAACAGAAAAGGTTGATTGAGAGAGCGTAGGTCTTGCTTTTTCAGTGCACTCCGAAAAAGATGGTCCCTGGCACCCATGGGGATGGCCAAGGGTGTCTGTGTAAGTGCAGAGTGTTCACAGCAGCACTCTGTTGGACATGATGAGATGAAAATCTCTCAGTCCCAACTGGGTTTGTTGCACAGTCTGTCTAATCAGCTAAGCAAGGATCATTTAAGGCTAGGATTATGCTGGACATAGCTCTGCCACAGGCTGCGTGCAACACTGTGGTGCAGGACACCCAGTTTCAAATTGCATTTCATTTTAATGTTGTACCCATTGTTTTTTATATCAGATTTTGTACTTATGTACTTCACACCTCTTTAATGCAGAGCAATGTAATTGCAGGGAGATTATTTTGCTATTGATTATTTGATCCAGGAAAGAAACAGAATTAATCCATGCCATGAATCACTAAGCATTTCTAGCAATAAACTTTATTGAGCCATGTGACTTGCTGTTACAGAATTGTAAAGAATGCTTTACTGGAATGATTATACCAAACAGTGTACAATTCAAACTGAATTATCTGGCTCACAATAAAATGTTTTTGGCAAGGGCACCTACTCGGACACTGTGAGGCTTTTATATTGCTAACAGAATAACGTTTTCTGGGCAATTCTGAAGATATATTACTCCTCATTTACAATGTGCATTGTGGAAAAAATGGTCTAAAAGGCTGCTGAAGGATGCATTCGTTTGTAACCACAGCATTTATAGAGATGCTGAGCTTTGTGGTGGGTGGTATTGCTCTAGCGGAAATGAAAGAAAAGTGGGGCTGCGGCTTGAGACTGGTATTGCTAATAAAGGTCCTTTTTGGAGAAGGCAGGTGCGAATAACAAGAATTGCAAATAATGGCTGGAGTGTGAAGAGCAGCTGGATGATGAGGTATGCTGTAACAGTAAGACTGAGATGAAATTGAAAGGAACTAATCAACCCTTTGCAAATAAAATATTCGGCTAGAACTTACTGCTGCCAGATACACAGACACAACTGGAAATATCTCATGTTTCCTGGATATAGTTGGTGCACACATTTTGTGTGCAGTTGGGGTACAGCAGGTACCTGTCAGCCTCGCTGCGTGCGTTTTGCATGGTCAGGGCTTCTGTCCAGATGGCAAAAGGACAGGCTTTACTGTCAAGCCTAACAGGTTTCAAAAAGGGGCTAAGGCTTACAGGAATGACAAGCATGGCTGGAGCGGTTGTGGCCTCAGTGAAGAGCTGTGGGAGAGGTCTGACACCTGGCTTCAGGAGAAAGGGGAAGAGCTGTCCTCTGGGAACAAATTACCCCAAGGCATATCACCCCAAGATCGTGGGGCTCTTGCCCTTGGACAGCTAGGGATGACCACCTTTGGAGAGATACCACGCTGGTCCAGGTTTGAGATCGACTATTTCTGCCTACCTGTGTATTTCTTTCTGGGCAATCAATTAAAATCTGAAAGTCTACGTGCTGTTGAGACACTGCGGCGTAATTCTCTCTGAGGTCACATCTCTCCTTTTCACTGATGTTACAGTGCGGCCAACAAGACTCCTGCCTTACCTAAAAGCATGTTACAGTCCTTTGCTGGGAGGTATTATATTCGTGTAAGTGGCTACCAGCACTATTGTGGCTGGCCAAGCTGTGCCAGTGGACTTTGACCATACCACAAGATGCTCTGTGTAGAATGAATAATGTTGCTTTGTTTTTAATTATTAAGCAGCACATATAATCCTAAATCCATGACCCATGAAAGGGATCTGTAAAGGGCAAGTTGTCATTGCACCGGTGCCATAAAAATGAGGACTTTGAAACTTTTGGAAGGAAAAGCCTGTTTCCCAGGGCAGGCAGGCAGTGCCCAAAGGCTGGCCGCAGAGCAGAGTGGGTGCAAGGTGTCCCCGTAGCACAGACCTTTGCCCAGGGCAGTGATGGGAATAAAGAGACAAATATGGAGACATGGAGTCAAAACCATTGCCAAATCCAAGTGTCCACCAGTCCTTGCTCAGCCTTTCTCCAGTCCTCCAACCCTACCAGGAGACTCAATTAAAACAACAGGATTTCAAAATTTGCAAACCTTAAGTGGTTTTTTTATTTTCTATGTGAGCTTTTCAGGCTAATGTTTCAGGCTTTCTGCCCAAATACGGAGGGCTGTGGAGACTTTCCTACCAACCGTTAGTCCTGCTGGACTCTGGCTGACTGCAACCCTGTGCTCCAATGTGGAAGAGGGGTGAAAAGCTGGAGTTTCCCGCAGGTATGATGTTTACATCCAGACTCAGAAAGCTTAAGGGCAAAAATCCCCTTTGTTATTATTTACAGTGCCACAGTGCAGAGGGGAGGAAGATCAGGTCTCCAGGGTGCTGGCTGCTGTGTGAAGCAGAGAGCAGGACTTGCCGTCTACTTAGAAAAAGAAGTATTTCTGCAGTGCCCCGGGGGGAGTAATCTGTGTTCAGCCTGGGGCTCTGTAGTCAGGACTTGATCTGAACCTCAGCCTCCT